CTGGGCGCGACCGTCTCTCCTCAACGAACCTACGCTGGTCGCCGCCGAGCGCAATCTCCGGACCCTCGTTCCAGCTGCTGTCCAGCGGTCGACAACGCCAACTCTGCGCATCGCGCCTCCCCCCCCCCCGCGGGCCAGTCAGCCATCGCACTCCGCAGCCGGGTGCGGCCGGCGCAAACTACTCGTCATCGTAGGTAAATTTGACCGAGCTCGACGTCAGCGGAACGCTGTCGCAACGTACTGTGACCCCTGATCAATAACTCCGCCGCGGTAGCTGCCGCGTTTCTTCTTGTTCTTCTCCTTCGTGAACGACTTGCCCTGCGTGACCATCAGGTCGGCGCTTGCCTTCGCGCCCCAGTCGCCGGTGCCGGACTGCTGTGAGTGAATGCGCGCGGCAACACATGCCTTGGCTTCGTAGCTCATGTTGCGCAGGCGCTCGTCGAGGAACTGCGCACTGTCGGATTTTACACGCTGGAACCGCTGCGGCGGCGTCTTTTTACCGTGCGGCGGCGTCGCCGTCTGGCTCGGCCGCTCAGACGCAAGTTCTGCAGCGCCGTCCACTACAGTGTCCGCGGACGGCCATCCGTCCACCGCCGCAGCCTCTGCATGTGACGCTGGCGCTGCCTCCAGCGCATCCTGGTCGGCGGCGGCGGCGCCGACGTCGGCGTCGGTCCTGTCCGCTTTCTTCGCCTTCTTCGCCCTCTTCTTCGGACGCTCCTCGGCGGTGCCATGCAGCGCTGCCATCAACGGAGACTGATCGTCGTCCATCGCCGAGCGCACGGTGCCCACGAGCACCTTGGAGAGTTCTTCCGCGCTGCCCGCGTTCGAGTCCAGCGCCGCGTCAGGGTATCGGGCAGCGAGCTTCGCGGCCAGCTTCGCGGACGCGTGCGTCGTGAGAAACGCATGGACGAGCTTCGCAGTATCTGCATATGAGGTCGGTTGCTGCGGCGTGTCATTCGTACGCACCCAAAGCTGCGCGATCTCCCAAAGCGCTGCTGCGTGCCTCCTTCGTACCAACGGGCATGTTGTAGCCGGAGGGAAAAAAATATATAGGGCGCACGCCTCCACATGTCGGCATCGTGGCCACCGCACGGTTTTTCCAGTGCTATGGGCTCGCAGCTGGACCCAAACGTATCTACGTCGAGTCGTGCGCGGCGCCGGTGGAAAGAGGAACAGCTTGAAGGTGCATATAGGGCACAGTGCGTGCGTGGCTATGTCCCTGGATGGCGCTGACTGCCAGGAGGGTGCGTTCCGTGGCGCGGCCGTGTGGACGGTGATCGGCGGGACGGCGGTCCTCTTTGCGAACTACCTGTATCCAGGGTTCCGGTGTGTGCGCGCGCCGATTTTGTCCTTACATGCAGGCGACAGACACTTGCACTCAAGGGCCTGCTGACCGTGTCCGGTGCGTGGTGTGCGGCGACACGCTAACGGGCCAGCCACGTCCATAGGCGTCGTGTTCGGGGCGGAGAGTGCGCTGCACCAGTACGAGACCTCCAAGCGCTCGCACGACAATCTTATCCGCCACAAGGCCATGCGCGAGATCGGCCAGCGTGGACTTATCGCGAGTGAATCGGAGATCTCGCGGTGGCAGGAAAATCTTATCCAGCGGGAAATCGAGCGGCGCATGCATACGCGCACTAACGAGGTGCCCAATGTGTAGAGGGGGGGAGGTGTGAAAAGGCAGGGGCGCAGGGAGAAGGAAAACGATCTGCAGCACGGCGCTACGAGGAAGCCCACTACGCTGCCGTTTGCAACGCGCACTACCCAAAAGACAGACCTTACTGTCACCGGACACGCGCTCATCAGCCCGTGCGACGGGCGATACGCACCGTACGGGCGTGGTGGACAGACGATCTCATCCCCCTGCCCCCGCATGCGTCCACGACGCTGCCATAACTCTACCGCAATATCTAGACGCCCCAGCCATGCATAATTCCACAACGTGCATGGGACACGTAGGCGCTGCAGCGGAAGCACGATCTGACGACAGCCAAATGAGCGACGCGCATGCTGCGGCGGTGGGTGCCGGGGATCATGGACATGCGCCTGGTCGTGCGCGGGACCTCCGGCTTGGTATGTGGGCTGGCACAGGATGTAATACGACTTCCACAGATCTGTCCCCCTTCTACCAGGACACGTTCGACGCGCAGGTGTATGCGAGTCAGTTCCTCGGCGACTCGGTCCTCCAGAGCCTAAAGGGCACCGCGGGGAACGCACAGAATGCGGGCGAGTCTGTGCAGCGGGACAATGTGAGCGCCCATGTTGCGTCAGTGGACAGCGACATGCGTGTCGCGCTGAGCCGGCTAAGCATGAGCATTAACCAGGTGGACCAAAACATCCACGAACTCGTACGTGGCGTGGCGGCTGCGCTCACGCCAGGTGGCGGCGCATCCGGATGCGTTCCTCGCGCGCGTGGCGAGTGTAGAGAAGCTGCAGGGTGCGATGCGCACCATCCAGGAGCAGGTCGCACATCTGGAACAGCAGGCAGCATCGTGCGTTGTGGCGCATCGCGCGTCTCACCACAGCGCGCGCGATCTCGTGCGGGTCCCGCTCGAGAATATCCGTGCGTCCGAGGCGCACTTGGTGCGTGTGCAGAACGCGGAAGATGTCGCCGCGCTCGCTCAGGCAGCGGTTGCCGCGAGCCATCGGCTCGAGTCGCACATGGATGCCGTCATGCGCTCCGATCTGCAGGCGTCGATGTCAGACCCGAGAGAAATGCACGAGAGCATTGCGCATGTGGTCAGTGCGTCTGCTGCGGTGCAGAGCCTTGGTGCGCGATCGTCCGCGCCCTGCTTACCCGCAGAGGAGCTGGTATGCGCGCGCGACGCACGCGGGGCGACGGCATGTGCGTCAGTGCGTCGCCTGGGGGTGCTGGAGCCGCACATGGAGCTGCTTCCCGATGCGGTGCACCTCCTCGTTGAGAGGATCGAGACGGTGCTGCTGTGCGGCCTGCGGAGCCTATCGCCGGCGATGCTCGGCAGCGCGGTGCAGGCGGCTCATCATTTGCGGCGGCTCGACGCGGTCGTCGGCCGCCTCATGCAGGACCTGCAGGGCGTTTTAGCAGACCACACGACGACCGCGATGGACCTCATCGCGCTGGGGAAAGACCTTGGCGAGCCGCTCTGTGCGTCCCTGGGTGGCACAGCTGACCGCAGTGCCAACGCTACCTTCGGGTGCGGCCCCTCTGTACAAGACTCGCAATGGTGCAGCGTCCGCACCCGCAGAGAAGCTCGCCAAATGGGTCGACGGCGCATGCGCGCGGCTTCATGCGCTGGTCGTCGACGAGCTCGCACCGATCTACGCCAAGGTGCACATGCTCGAGCAGGTGCTACGCCTGAGGACCGACGAACACGGCACGCCCTATGCGGAGCTAATAGAAGCGGTATGTGGTCTGGGAGCGCCTCTCACGGCAGCATTTATCCGGCCTCCCTACGGAGCTGCTCTGGACCGCGTTCGCACGCGAGTTCACCGCCGTCTGTGCGGAAAACATCCAGGAGTCTGGGTTTTGGCGGCACCTGCTGGTGCTTTCTTTTCCGCGGCTGCGGGCGCTCTTCCACGAGCTTTTCGCGCGCCTGGCGCTGCTCACGGAGAGATCCGGGTGTCTTGCGTCGTCCGTGCACTGCGTGTTCGTCCGTTCACATCCAGATACGCGCCGGCACCGGTTGTCGAAATGCTGGCGACGTTCGAGTCGCAGTACCTCGCTTCGGTGGAGCAGCGGCTCATCCACGCGCAACGCGATTTGTGCGCTGTGCTCGCCAAGGGGAAGCCCGGGACGCAGGAGGCCGCGAGACTCGCAGAGATCATGGAGACAGAGCTGCAGGCGAATAGCGCCGACCCCGCGCACGCGACAGTGCAGGAACTGTGCGGCACGGTGGTAGAGGCGCTCCTCCGGCAGGTGATGTGCCTCGTGCGTCGACACCGACGGCGGCACTGACGGCAGATCCGCCACGACGACGGAGCCTTCTCCCTGCAGCATGCGCAGGCGACCGCGGCACAGCTCCAGAACGCACACATTGCAAGCGCGCTCAATACCCTGCGCAGTGGGCTGCTCCGCATGGAGCGCGAAGGCCTCGGCGCCTTGCTTGCGGAAAAGGCGGTTCAAACAGTGCTGTACACGCACATCCACGCGCCACTCGTGACGTCCGTCAAGCGTGAAATGGCCACGGTCCTCGCACGCATCTACCGATTCAAAGTCGAGCGTGCCACAGTCACGACATCTGCGGACACGGGCGACGCGGACACGAGCGCATATATGCTGGAACTGTGTGCGCGCCTTGCGTTTCTACGGACGCAGTTCTTTGGCCGGTACGCCGGCGGGGTGGAGAGCGGGCAGTCGTGCGTCGTCGCATGGGGTTGAATGAGCTCACGACGCAGGGCACTGGATGTCGCGCGGCATGTGCTCACCGTCTTCGTTGCGCACGCGTCGCTGATCCGGCTCGACCACGAGTCTGAGAAGCTCCAGCTCGTCAGCGACATGACTGCGCTGGAGCTGAGCCTGTCGCAGCTCCTTTACGAGGTCGGGCACAGTGGTGCGGGAAATGCACTCACGCTGACTGACTGTGGCGATGCGTTTGTGGCGATCCGCGGTTTCCGGTGCGGCGGCGCGGTGGCGCAGTGGCTGACTACAGCACCCTCCTCTTCCTGCCCACGGACGACTTTGCGGACCCAGCCAAGGTCCGCCGCCGCACGGCGCCCATGTCGGATATGTTTTTACTCCATCACCTTGTGTCGCGCTCCAAACTGGTCCCCCTGCCAAACGAACTCCGGCGCATGAACAAGACTGCGTATGTGGAGTGGATCATCAGCACGAGTCAGGCGCATGGTGCGCTCGTGTCAACCCGTGTCGAGGGCGAGGTGCTGCACGACATGCGCGCCTGGGTGCAGCACCACGCTGCGGAGGTGGACGCGCAAGTGAGCAGCGACTCGACGCCTCACAGTGAGGACCGCCGCGTTCTGCGCTGTCTCGAGGTATGGCAGGCAGCATGAAAAAGGAAAAAGAGTGACTTTACCCGGGCTCGAACCGGGGACTTTCACGGGATCACGATGGTGTTAACGTGATACTCTAACCAACTGAGTTATAAAGTCAAGCGTCCGTTGACTTTGGATGTGTGATCATCCAAATAGGGGAGAAAGGGTGCTTTCCGCCGGGCAGGTGGTTTTTTTTTGTGGCGTCCCCGGAACATTGCAAGCCTGTTCCTGGCCCTCCCATCCCCCTTTCCCCCTGCCCACTCAGGCATAATCTGCACGATACAGACCGCTCTACAACACCGAAAGTTATACGCGTTCCAGGACCATAGCAATGCCCTGTCCACCACCAATGCAGGCGCCGCCGAGAGCGTATTTCTTGTCAAGGCGGTGCAGGTTGTAGGTCAGGTTGGAAATTATGCGCCCACCACTGGCGGCGAGCGGGTGGCCGAGAGCAATGGCACCACCAAAGAGGTTCAGCTTGTCGTCGGGAATCTCGAGCTCCTTCTGCACCGAGAGCACTTGCGCGGCGAACGCCTCGTTAATGTCCACCAGGTCCATATCCTCCATCGTGAGGCCGGCGCGCTTGAGAGCCATGCGGCTGGCCTCAACGGGGCCGATGCCCATGAGCGACGGTTCACAGGCTGTGATGCCGTAGCTGACGACGCGGGCAAGCGGCTTGAGGTTGTACTGCTTGATTGCCTCCTCGCTCGCGACAACGTTCGCAGCCGCACCGTCGCAGATGCCCGACGCGTTGCCTGCTGTGACCGTGCCATCCTTCTTGAAGACCGGCTTGAGGCGCCCGAGCGTCTCTATCGTGGTCGGGCGCGGGTGCTCGTCGGTGTCGAACGTCTCCGTGGTCTTCTTCACTTTGACCTCGAGAGGGGCGATCTCGTCCTTGAACGCGCCCTCTTTCTTCGCCTTCTCCCAGTTACCCTGCGACCGGAGAGCAAATTCGTCGCACTGCTCACGCGTGACGCCGTACTTTTCCGCAAGGTTTTCCGCGGTGATGCCCATGGGTGTCGGCACCGGCACCTGGTCTACGAGCGACACAGCGAGGCTGTCGACCAGCTTGAGGTCCACACCGTAACGCGTGCCGCCAAAGCGCACCCCATGCAGCGTGTATGGCGACATGCTCATGTTCTCCGTGCCACCCGTGAGGATAACGTCGGAGTCGCCACAGTTGATCTCCTGCGTCGCGCCGATGATGGCCTGGAAGCCGCTGCCGCATAGGCGGTTCACAGTCAACGCCGGCGTGTTGATCGGAACGCCCGCGAAGTGGCCGACGTGGCGCGCAAGGTACGGTGAACTGGAGTCCGAATGGGTCACCTGGCCGAACTGCGTCGAGGAAATTGGCGTGTTCGCCGGCAGCTGCGCGAGGGCCGCCTTCGCCGCATGCCCACCGAGCTGCGCAGCGTTCTGGTTCGCAAGCTTGCCGCCAAAGGCGCCAAACGGTGTGCGCTTCGAAGCAACGATGAAAGCGTTCGTCATTCCGCAAGTATCAGGTATACGCAGGAGCGAATGCTGTTCGCAGTGCGCGCGGGGAAAATGTATGCTCGCTAGTTCACACCCGGGATATGCCGACTCGGCCGAGACCCAATAAGCCGGCTCGGCGCCGCGCGTGGCAGTGGCAATGGTGCATTGCGGTAGGGCATCGCTACGTGGCTACCGAGCCAACACTCGTCACCCGTCCGCGGGGGCTGATCCCACGAGCTCGGCATCGTCCAGCGGTGCAGTCGCCGTCGATCCGTCTGGCAGCGTGCGGCACAGGAGGCCGTCGCGCTGCGGTCAGATGGCGCGTGCGAGGAGACTCACCGTCTGCTGGACGTCGTCCGGCAGCTGGTTCACCGCGAGCTCTGCGGCCCGGTCAGTGCCGCCGAACGAGTTCCTGCGGAAGTGCTGCGCGGCGCCGGCTTTCGGCCAGTGATCTGACTTTGCCTTGGCGTCGTCCAGCGACTCCGGCTCCCGCGCCGGCGCAAGATGCGCGTCACCGGCGCCGGCGCGCTGCCGCAGCGATGCCGGCTGGTGCAGGTCCACGAACGGTGAATCGTCCGCACAGTTCTCGTCCGAGTCCGTCGAGGATGTGCTGCCCTGGGGCAGCGCGCTGGGGTCGTCCGAATCCGAGTCGTTATCGACGACGGAGGACGACGGGATCGCTGACATGCCACTGCGGCGGAACTCGGCCGCCCAGTCCGCCGGCGTTAGGTTCTCTTGCGCGGCCTCCGCGGCTTCGCTTGCGCGCGCGGTAGACGTGAACTCAAATGCGGACTGCGTCCCGGTCGAGTAGGGTCCCCACTCCTCGTCGTCGGGAATAGACTGGCCGGTGCTCATGAGGAATCCGCGGTGCATCGCCTGACCGAGATCGTCGGCACCGTCCACGTGCGCGAGCGCATTGTTCTCCGCGTCGTCCTCGTCGTCACCGGTGGCGTCGTGCATCTGCGAAGAGAGGTATCGTGTATACGTGGAGCCGGAGTCTCCTTCCGCATACCAGTCCTCCGACTCCAAATTCGACCATGTCTGCGCGGCGGTCGCCTGCTGCGACGGCCGCCCCCCCGCGAGCGGCGCAGCCTCCTTCGACCGCGACACACGCAGCTCGTCGTTCACGTACGCCTCCCACTCCGTGGACGGGAACGCCGCCTGAATCTCGTCGCCGACGAGCGCCGGGTAGCGCTCGACCAGCTTGATGACTTCCTCGGCGATGAGGTTCAGGTGTCCCATGTACCCCAGGCGGATGCGGCGCGGCTGCGCGCTAGCGTGAGCGGCGGTGCGCGCGTACATACGAGGACTCCTGGTTCATGCGGGACCCCTCGAGGATCGTAGACACAAGGCCCGCGCGCTTGAACGCGGAGACGACGAGGCCCCGATTGATGCGGTCGTCCATGTCGCCATTGAACAGCTGCTGCAGGATGTCGTATATGACGTTGTGCAAAAAGTTGTTCCACGGGTGGTTCAAAAAGAGCTCCTGCAGATGAGTGTCTCGCTTTCCCTGCGCGACGCACCAGGAGCGTTGGGAGCACCTCGTAGTCGAGGAACTGCTTTTTCAGGTAGCTGCCGGACACCAGCTCGATCTCCGTGTCCGGCTCAGACGGCGGGCGCGACGAGAACTGCGACACGAGGTCCGCGAGCGAGAGATTCGAGAGCGCGGAAGCAATGCTGCTTGCGTCCTCTTTGTCCTCCGGCGATGCCCCGGCGCCTGATGCATCCTTTGGTGCCGGCGACAGAAAGCCGGGCGCCGCATCTCCGTCGCTGCCCGCCCTGTCGGGTGCGTCGCCCCCGGCGCCGCCGGCCTCCCCGACAGTGCCACTAGCGCCGGCCTCCGAAGGCACGTCCGCGTACTCAGACGGTTCGCGCGCGGGCTCGCCGCCATCCACAGGCCCGCCGGCGTCGTCCCCCTGCAGCGTACGCGCAAGAAGCTGCAAACCATCGATGCCGCCGAGAAGTGTGCCCGCGGCGGAGTACTGCGGTCCCACGTGTGGTCTGCGGTTGAGCAGGACCATGTTGGAGCAATGGAGGAGCTCCGCATACAGCTCGGCAATGCAGTAGCGCGTCTGCGTCAGCGGCTCCACCTGACCGACGGAAGTGTTGACGAGCGGCTTGTCCAGCTTCGGATGGCGCATCAGGCCCTGCAGATCGGGCACGCGGTCGGAAAGCGCGCGCAGGAGGGGACCGAGGTGGACGATGCCCATCTTCTCGGCGACCTCGGCCATGGCCTCCTCCATGCCGTCCGGGTCGTCGTCGTCCTCGAACTGCAGGTCGTCGAGCGAAAGATTGGGCTTCTCCTGTGTGTCTTCCGAGTGGCGCTCCATGAGCCGCTCGTGGCGCCGCTGCCCGGACACCTCCTGCCGGCGCAGCAGCAGGTAGTTCCGCAGCGTGTGGAACAGGTGCTGCTCAAAGTAGTCGCTGTTGTTCTTGCGGATCAGCTCGATGAACACGCCGACGCAGTGAATGAACGAAGAGGACGTGTCCACGCAGGACGCCGGCTGCCCCAGCACGCTGGCGCGGCGGAAGTCCGACGGGCGCAGTGTCGCCGTCGAGTCGCGGTGCGCTGTCGCCGTAGACATTCGCCGCGCGACGGACGCCGCGCGCTTCTTGATGTCCAGGTGCAGCGCCCAAGAGTCCTCCTCGTCCTCGTCCTCCTCCACCGCAGTGTCGTCCGGGGACGGCACCTCGCGCAGCGTCCGCAGCGTATCCCGCCCCGCGGTCCGCGCTACGGAGCCGCGCCGCAGCTCCGCGTCGCTGTGCCGTGTGCCCTCGTCCCGTGCGCTGTACGAACCCTCGTCCGCCTTGTCGTCCAGCATGAAGCCGACCATCCTGTTTACGTTCTCATCGCCCGCGAGCTCGCGCACGAGCAAATTGTTGACGCCGCCGGCGCCCAGCAGCATCTCGCCGGGACCACCAAACGTGTCCTGCATCGAGATCTGGTTCAGCGACGAGGGCGTCGGCGCGGAGAGCGCAATGACCGCCTTGAGGAACTCGGACGCGGCCTTGTGGTGCTCGGACGACTCGTACGGCGAGAGCAGGCCAACGACGCGCTGCATCAGGTCATTCTGCGCGAGCCACTCGATGATGCCCGCGTCGGGGACGGAGTCCTCGCTTTGGATGAGACGGAAGAGCAGGTCCACGATCGCGGGCGTCTCGAAGTGCGACACAAGACCCTCCACTGCATTCGGCATGCGCTTCACCAGCGCAAGCATCTCCTGCGGATGGCGCTCCAAAAGCACGAGGTTCACTTTCGTCCAGTACCCCGCGAGCACGGAGAAGCCCGGCCCCTGGCGGCGCGCCGAGTACGTCTTTTTCTGCGCAGATGCGCCCGCGCCCGCTGCGGCCCTGTCCGCCACGCCCACTGCGTCGCCGCTCGCGGTGCTCTTGTCCGCCGCGTCGTCGCCGCGTCGCTCCCCCCCTGTCTCCTCCTCCTCCGATCGCGCGCCGTACGTCGCGGAGGTCAGTGGATGCGCGTGCAGCGGCACAGGCTGCTGGGACGCGTCCGCGGGGATCGCCAGGAACGATATCCAGAACGGGACGAGCAGCTCGTCCGCGTGGTCGATAAGTGCCTGCATTACCTCGGGAATCTCGCTGCTGAGCACTTCGGACGCGAGGTACGGATACCTGGAGTGAGCGAC